TATTAAAATATATATATATATATATATATATATATATATATTTAAATTATTATGATTATTATTATTACCCATAAGACCATTCACTCTGAATAAAGGGTCCAATCCTAAGACATGCATAGAGGCCCTGTGCCTGGACTTCCTTGATGAACCTCACTATGTCATGCCCTCCACTGAAGTCATACTGCAATATTGTTGCATTACACAGGAAAAACAAAAAACAAAAAGATTAACAAGTGATCAGTGAATGAGAAAAGTAATTAAGAGAGGATTAAGGAGTTTGGGATCATGGCTACAGACATGACCAGGTTGTGGTTCATGGGCATTCCAAAACACGTAGGTTTCTATCGCATCCAGTCCTCCTTCCTTGGCTTTGGCTATCAGAGATGGCCACATCTGCAAATATTTACTGTTAGTAACACAACGAGCAGCAGTCATTTTTTTATTTTTTGAAAAAAAAAGGTAAGATGGGAAAAATTACAAGAACAGAATTGGGTTTTGGATAAAAAATAATAATAAATTGAGAATGGTCAGCACTAGCTACAAGAAATTATATATCTAGTTATTTTTAATATTGCGAGGAGTTAGTGAGTAAAATGTAAGGAACATAACACTAGATTATACAATTATTTTCTGATGAACGTAGCAGCTACATGGATCAAATCCCCAGCCAAATGTCATTTACATCCAATTCTCAATTCTGATGATTATTTTATTAAAACGTCAACATTAATTATTATTATAAGATACATAATATAATTTACCATCCATTTCTTGGAATTATCTTCAAGTATTAAATAACTTTGGATCAAGCCACTCAATTAATAAATTCTAATTAATCGAGGCCACCAATATTGGGATTTTCATTTACATATATTTTCCTTTCAAATCCTAAAAAAGAAAAACGAGCCTTTTACTTCTTTTTTTTTTTGTAAAGATGTATAAATTCCACAAATAATCATAAATTACTAGGGTGAAGTTTAAAGAATAATTTTATATTATTCTTTAATTATTTTTATAAGTAAAAACCTTTTAAATTTAAAATTTATATATGCTCATATTATTATGTAATTAGAATAGAACTGATAAAATTTGAATTTGTGATTATTTGATATTATATTAAAAAACTTTTTCTACTAAAAAAATTAATTTTTTACATAAAATTTCAATAATAATTTTATATTATTTTTTAATGTAATTAATGTTTAGAAATGTAGGTGTCTAGAGACAGCAGGACGGATCTCCTTGTGTGCTAAAAAAAAAAGAAAAGAAAAGGAGAACAACTAGCCTCAACGAGAATCTCGAGGGATCCCTTCCTATGTTTACCCAGATGGATGGAATAGGAAGAGTGAAAGAGGGGCATTTCTTATGGAGATCCAACAACAATAAGAAAATGCCTGAGAGAAAGAAAAGCAAGTCAACTGCTATGTATACTACAACATTTGCGTACAGATGTAATAAAACCCTACATCTTGTTCTTGGTGAGCTGTGTTGGATTTCTTTTGTTGAACTATACAATGATTGTCTGAGAACATGTAATGTAATGTAATGTATGTGTGAAACTTGTAAGGGTTTTTTTTTAAGAAAAAAAAACCACAAAAGGCAAAGTTAAGGTAGAAAAAAACATTATTTGATATGATGATATTAAAAATAAATTTAAAAAATACATTATTTTTATATATTTACGAGTTAAAAATATTTTAAAAAACAATTATTATATACTACAATATCAAACAAGATTTTAAACAAACTAAAATACCTAACTAAGAGTTCTGGACTTGAACTAAATGATGGGGGGAGACCGCAAACTCCAAGTTTCCAGTTAATAATATGTTTATATGTTGGTCGAGAAATGTAAGTAATAAAATTAAGATAAAAAAATGTATTTTTAAAAAACTTTTTATAATTTGACTATTATCAATTAAGCTAGTAGTTCGGTTCTAAACTGTTCTGGTGTCACTTGATGATAATCCTTTGTTCTAGACTACTGAACATGATTTTGCCTTTTTCAGAGGGAATTTTCCTTCCCAATTCACTTATTAGGTAAATTGTACTCAAATAATATATATATATATATATATATATATATATATATAGTCAGATTGAGAAAATGTTTAAAGTTAGTGAACTTATAATGGAATGAAATTATCCAAGTGATTGATATCGAACTAAACTTTATCACTATAACAAATTAACTTTCAATATTCATGATTTCTTCATTGTGATTTTCAACTAGAACAACTACTACATTGAAATACGATGATCAGCTCGCTAGGAAGCTTGTTCTTCTTCCAAAACGAAAATAATTATGGCATGCATAGAAGGGTTTGTAAGCTTAAGTACCTCTGGGGTGCTTCGAGGATAGTGAATAGAACCAGAGAAAACAATCTTCCGTTGCCCATTAATTATCAGAGATCTGCCATCGTAGGTTACATCTCCGCCACGAACGGCACTACCACTGCCAAGAACTGCTAAAACAACCGCCGCCACTAAAAACAAGACCCTCCTCATCTATAGTACTTTCTCTGTTGGAGGGAAGAACTATATATGATCTCTTGTTAAGAACACAACAATGGAAAGAGCCGTCACTTTCTATAAGAATTTGTGGCGAGACATGCACATAAGGAAACCAAGTGTAAGCTTAGTTAGGGAACTTCCCTATATATAAATAGTAATGGGATTTGCTTATTAAAAAAAAAAAGTAGAACAGCTTTATATATATATAATAAAATAAAGAGGTAAGGGTTGTTGTATTTCCGCCAAATTAATAAAATAATTAAAGGGTTTAACCCTAGCAGTAAGGAGGTTTGCCTTTGCCGTTGTTTTTGTAGCTCGAGTGCCTCTCTGGATATTAAAATATAGGTTCGTACGTTCGATTTTAACGGAAGATGCCGGCGAACAAAGAAAATGAAAGTAGTGCCCAGTTGTAAGCTGAAACAAGATGGTGGTGAGAGGAAGAGACGGCAGAGGAGAGGGTATAGTGTCGTACGTCAGATTGGTTTCACGTATAGAATTTGGGCGGCGCCTCCACTGTGTTTGACTGAGAGAGTAACAAATAACCACTTATGCATCGCCATCTGATATTTTACGAGGCAGCAGTCAAAAAAGGATCTTGCTTGCTAGCGTGAAGAAACTTGTGGCGTACGTAAAGGTAATAATGAGTTGATCTGTAGCAAGATATATAAATTATGTGACTCCGTGCTCATCCCTTTGTTTAGACATTTATAATATAGTATAAGCATATCTCGTAACACATTTTTATTATTTATTTACTTTCATAAGATGTACTTGGTGTTTGGAATTGAGATTGAATTTTTTTTATTAAAATTAATTTTTTTATTTTAAATTAATTTTTTATATTTTTAGATTATTTTAATATGATGATATTAAAAATAAATTTTTAAAAATAAAAAATATATTATTTCAATATATTTTTAAAAAAATAATATTTAAAAAAATAATATTTACTACATTCGCAGATATCATTGCAGCACCTTCACATATATGATATGACTTAAGGGTGAAATAGCATATTTATCTTTGAGTAAATTATAAATTAATCATTTTAATTTTCTAGTTTGTTTTACCGTTATGGTTTACAATTTGATACATACTTGACAGGGCACATATTGTTTGTGAGCAAATCTATACTTTATAATAATCTATTACTATATATAAAATTATATAAAAGCGTTAAAAACTTTCAATTAATTATTATATTCTGAATATAAATTCTCGTTTCTGAAAAATAATTAATACAATGTTAATACCATCATAATATATAACTAATACTCATGTTCACATGTAAAAAATATGATATTTATTTTTTATTTATTTTTTAAAAAAAGGTGGCTTTTGATATTAAAAAAGAAAGGGATTTTACTTTACCCATCTTCCAAAAAAATATTATTCATTATAATACTTTTTTTTTCTTCTTCTAGTTTTTTTATTTTTAATTTCAATTCCAATTTCAATTACATCTTTTAATATTAAGTTTATTGGAGATTGAACTTTATTTTTTTTAATTTATTTTTTATGAAATTATCTCAATCTTATCACCCGGACCACGGGTTTGATAAATTGACTCAAGTTTTTTTCTTTTTCTAATTCACTTTTCTCTCAATTACATCATTTAACATTGGATTAATTGGTAATTAGCCTTTGAAATTTATTTTTGTTTCCTTTCTATAGGGTTATCTTTGTTTTATGACTTGATCACAGGTTTAGTAGGTTAACCTAGGTTAAATCATCATAGGTTTAGTAGGTTAATCTAGGTTAAATAGAGTTATTTTATATGTTTTTTAATTGATTTTTTCTCTCAATTTTGTCTTTTAATACTAAGTTAATTAGAAATTATGCTTCATAATTCATTTTATTTTGCTTTATATTGAGTTATCTTAGTAGTTATTTTGCTTTATATTGAGTTATCTTAGTCTCATGAACTGGATCACGGGTTTAGTAGGTTAACCCGAGTTAACTCGAGTTATTTTTTATCCTTTTTCATTTATTTTTCTTTCCAGTTCATCCTTCAACATTGAATTTATTAAAAATTAGTTTTTATAATTTTTTTTATTTGTTTATTATGGGATTATCATGGTTTATGGCTTGGCATGTGAATTGACAGGCTAACATGAATTGATCTAATATGTTGTCGTTTTAATATTTATAAAAAGATATTATCTTAAATATTTATTTTCAATCAAATTATATTTCTACATATCGGTCATTTGAGTTGTCTTTGGACCCCTTAAGGTTATCGGGATATATTAGGTCAATTCTTGTACAGTTCTAATTTCTTTTTACTAAAAAAAACATTAGCAATGCTTAAATATTTTTTTAATTTAAAAAAATTGATCAGACCCGCGACACAGTCCAAGCCAATAATCTAGTGAATCCTAAAATATACAAATTAATAACATCTTTTCATTAATTTTTTTTTTATTTATGCACCATATTATAATCCAAACAACTAAAAAAGTTGGCGAATTCACTATAAACCAAAAAAGAAAACATTATGAATTGAAACAATATTGTTTTTACTTTTTTTTCCTTCTTAACAAAAACTAATGGCCTTGTTGATGGGGTAATATTATCTTCTCCACATGGCTCATTGTTCATTACTTATTTAATTGAGGCAAATCGGTCCTCTCACCTTTTTTTTTTAGCATAGTAAAATTATTTAATTATCTTTAAAACTAAAAATTATTAAATTGTCATTTAGAAGCTTCTTTATCTTTTTAATTTTTATACACATTAAAATGAAAAAATTACCTTAAAATCATTAATTATTAAGCTAGCATGTAGGGGTGTTTTTGTATTTTCAACTTGGTTTTTAGATTCTAATCAAGTTCAAAGATGAAAAATTTTAATATTTTAATAAATATATAATATTATTTAAAAAGAAAAGGTGGTTGGTGCAATAGTCACATATACTAGTAAGTGAGAGATTTTGGTGACTTTTTGAGTTGTCATATTCCTTTTAGAAGAACATAATATCATGACAACCTTTTTAAACATGTTCTAAATAATTTTTGGTTGAATTAGAAAGCTACTATCTAATATTATAATTTCTAGTAACCTTATTTTGTTAGCTAAACACTCAAACTTCTCTTAAACTTAAAAGGCATTTAATAATTAGTCTCTACAGTTAACTTTACTTTTCACCTCCATGTAGTTAAATGTATTTGAAATCAACTTCTATTATTTTTTTTCAAGATTCTCTCCATATTTTATATATAAAACTATTGAAATTACTTAAATACTCATAAGATAAATAATCTTCAACCTTATTAATCAATTTATTTTTTTCTATGAAATTAATTTTAAATTTAAAAAACAAGACAAATAAATTTAATTCTCCATTCAAAAAAAATTTAAAAAACAAGACAAATAAATTTAATTCTCCATCCAAAAATTTTTTATTTTAATTTTTTCAAAGAAAGGATATTTAAAAAATCAAAATTATTGAATGAATAATTAAAATTATTAATATTTATTTCCTAGAAAAAAATTAGAAAGGATATTTAAAAAATCAAAATTATTAAGATTTATTTCCTAGAAAAAAAAATTGATTAATTGGGTTAAAAGGTTATTGAAGTTGAGAGTATACAAGTCATTTAATTAGTTTGATATGCAAAATTTCGAGGGAACTATAAAAAAAAATAACAAGCAGTTTCATTTAAAGTATAAGAAGATAAAAAATGAAATTAAGAGTACAAAAATTAATTAATTCTCGAATAAAATAGGTTTGGATAGCATAGCCTATTTCATTTTGTTAAAATTAGACATCAAAGTAATTCATTGTAGAGTAATGAAGAGTGGGAAAACAAACATTCAAGGGAAGAAACACATCAAAGAAAAAAAGAGCAAAAATAGGAATTGTTCTTATATTTATTTTTTCATGGATATTTATTTTATTACATTTTAAAAAATTCATCCCTCGATTTCTTTTTATTGGACCATAGGTTTTGAAGATTGACATGGGATTACTTTGTTTTTTTAGGTTTTTTTATAAAATTATTTTTAATTTTATCTTTTAATATTTAATTTTTATAGGATTGATCTTCGTGTCTTTTTTTTCTCTTTCTTTTTATAAAATTATCTAAATTTAATACCCATAGTCACTAGATTAAAAAGTTAACCTAGGTTAACTTTGATTTTTTTATTACTTGAAAAAAAATCAATTCCATGCCTCAAGATTATTTTATTGAGAATTTTGGTTTGTTATTAATTTTTTTAGATTTGTCTTTTATGCAGTTAGTTTCAGCCCTATAATGATCAAGAGTTTTGAAAGTTAACATCGGTTAGTTTTGGTCTTTTTATGTTATTTTTTAATTTTATTTAATATTTATTTTTTTAGAGTTAGTTTTTGTGCTTTATTTTATCACTTTCCTTTCTATGGTGTAAACCACTAGGAAAAAATAAATTATGAAAAAATACTTGAAAAATAAAAAAAAAACATAGAAAAGCTAATTAAAACCAAATGTAATAAATAAATGATGAAATAATTATGATGAAATTTAACATATTCTAGTTTAAATTCAACGGAAACAAGTCTCGTGATCAGGTAAGAACTTACCTAGAAAAATAAAAGATATATAGGTGGGACGTATATGTATTTGTGAAAGAAAATAGAGATAAAGAATTAAAGAGAAAAATAACAATAAGAAATATTTGTAACAAAGAAAAGTTATCAGATTTATTGATATTTGTGAAAGGATAGACAGATTGATAGCAATTGTATGAATTGCTGGATTTATTAGTATCAATGAAAGTATAGTACTAAATTGATAATAATTGTATGAATTGTTGAATTTATTAATATCTGGAAAGGAAAAATATGATTAATGTAGATTAGTTAAAGATGTGCTTGATAATGTAAATAATTGACTCTGAGTTGTTAGTATTAATTAAAATATGTAGCAGCATATGTAGAATCATGGACAATATTTTTATGATTAATTTAATAATTAAATCTTTATGGTTTAGTATTTTGGTGACGTGTAATGTAT